CGAGAACGAGGACAACTGCAAGACTACCTGTACAGGTGAGACAGATGGAGTCCCATCTGTGTCCATCTCACTACAGCTGAGACAGAAGTGTCAGGCGTGCCCGTCTTTAAATATGGGACATGTTTGTCTCCTCCAGGAGTCACAGTTCTGCCGTCCTCGAAGAAAGTTCCATCTGAGAACACAGGTGAGCTGGACGCAGGGACTAAAGTTCTCCACTGCCACGACTGCTTTCCATCGTGTTGAATGTGGACAGATTTCTGTCATCTTTAAGATTGGGGGGGGGGGGGGATGCTCAGGTAACCTCTTAGTGTTAAAAAAAATGGTCAAAAGGGTTTTTCTGCTTTAATTCTCCTGACATCCTGAAGAAAAGAGCATTTGGCTGCCAGATGCATTGTGGGTAATTGTTGTGTCTGTGTCAGAGCCCTGTGGGTTGAGTCCAGTGCAGGGACACTGCCGCGCCGCCTTCCCCAAGTTCTACTATGACCCAAGCTCCGCCTCCTGCCAGAGCTTCCTGTATGGCGGTTGTGGTGGAAACGCCAACAAATTCGACTCTGTGGAGGAGTGCATGAACCGCTGCAGCGGGCACGGTAAGCACCGTTCACTGGATCACCTGATGCACCCGTCAGTCTCACCCGTCTGTGTCTCACCCGTCTGTGTCTCACCTGTTCTTGTCCCACAGCTTCGGTTGATACTCAAGGTAAAGGTCGAAGCCACTGGACTGCAGGTGAGCGTCTCCTCCAGATTTTTTAGTTTAACTTTGAAAGGACGAGCACGTGCAGCGGTCCTTTGGTCTAACTTTATGACCAAAGGTTCTGTTCTGCTTGGTCCACATAAAACTACAGAAATAAAGACATCGCGTAATAAAAAATTAACTTTGACACTTATAACACTTTAGGGGGCAGGGCTTGTCTCTTACCAAAATAAGTGAGCTTCCTGTGTGGTCTTTTCACAATCAAAGCTGCTGTTAGCTTTTCACGTCTTTTCCTCCAGCCTTCTTTCTCTTTTATAGCAGGGGTTCTCAAACGTGTTGGGTTCAGGGACCCCTTACAGGGGAGAGAACCCATAACCCTCATGTTTATTAAATAACTTTCTTCAATTTGTCTAACGCAATGGAAATATTTGTGTAACATAAATATTTAAGACCTGTCCTTTAATAATGCTAAATTTTTATACTTTTAAACATGGGGCATTTTTCATTCAGTCAGAATCAGCTTTATTATCATTGTACCGAAATACAGTGAGATTATTATCGTACAGTCGTCGGAAAGATGGGCGGAGAAATAAGGAGAAATTTGATAAGTCTGTCTGCTTCAAGGGCAAATGGGGGAGTCCGATTCAGATAAGCAACAATTGTTGATGTTTTTCAGGCAGACTGTTATTTCTTGTCAGCCTTGAATTCTGCTGGTGCTTTTAATCCAAAATGGCCAGATTAGTGGGCTTTCCACTGGTCCGTGCTTATTAAATCCCTCCAAGGTCGTCCCCAGTGGTTAATTTGAGCCGGATCCTGCCAGAACAAGATCCAGGAACTCCCTCATTTTCACTGTGTGCGTTCCGGCTCAGATCTGTCGGCTCAAATCTCTGCCCATAAAAGTCCAAAGTCATTGCGCATTTTTATTTTGATTATTAATTAAAAATACAGCGACGGGAGACGTCCATGTCTGTGGAGTGGATGTTACTGCTTCAGCAGGCGCACCAGCTCGCCACACGCTGCTGCCAGCAGAGACGCTGACCGCATGTCCTGCTGGGATGAAGCGTCTTCATCCACCTTCAGCTGTGTCTCAGAATCCAAAGCAGCACAATTTATATATATTATATTTATACAGGTTGTTAGTGTCATTGAGCCTGGAGGACTTATTTACAAGAGAGACCTGTTTAAAATCCATCCATCCATTATCTTTTACCCGCTTCTTCCATTTTGGGTCACGGGGGTCGCCGGTTCCCATGTCCAGCAATCACTGTGCGAGGGGCGGGGTACACCCTGGACGGGTTTCCAGTCCATCACAGGGACACATAGAGACAAACAAGACAAACAACCATTCACTCTCTCACCTAGGAACAATTTAGAGTTACCCATCAGTCTAACATGCATGTTTTTGGTCTGTGGGAGGAAACTGAAGAACCTGGAGAAAACCCACGCATGCACGGAGAGAACATGCAAACTCCACCCAGAAAGGCCCCCGGTCCGGGATTTTAACCAGGGACCTGCTCGCTGAGAGACAGCAGCTCTACCAGTTGCGCCACCATGCTGCCCCTGTTTTAAATCAATTTAATCCAATGTTACAGATGTTTAACAACCTGTTAAAATGCAGGAAATGGCATCTCTATTCCAAATTTTCTGGGGGAAGACCCATGGATCCCCCCACCCCACCCGCCGCTTCCAGACTGCCTGCTATTTGTGTTCCGGCATCAGTTGGTTTACAAATAAAGTCCTGGTCATCCCCAACATGTTGGCGAGTCCCAGAAGCCGCAGGTGGCCTGCGATTCTCACAAATCGCTTCCATCTTATGGTTTAGCGCATAAATCGGCTGATTTTAAGTGCTCGAAGCACAAACCAAACCTGCGGACATGGTCGGCAGCTTTGCCATGGCCGAAATTGCTTTCACAGTCTTCTTTAATAGCCAATAACATAGATATTCACTGGTGCCAAAAAGCAGAAACCCTGCTATCATGATTCCAATATCTTCGGCGGCGTCCTGAGACAATACAGAAAGACACATCAGATCCATGACGTATCCTGCAGCGTGAGTCTCAGCGGGGCATGAGGGCTCTTTGTCGTTTGGTTGAAAAATATATTCTCAATTTCGTTGAAAGTCCAGATGATCAGATCCATGACGGTAGTTTACATTTTGGAAGATGTGTAACAGGAACTCCGATACACAGACAGAGAGCAAAAAAGCAGGAGGGGGACGGGAGAGGGAAGAAGAGCGTCTGTCTTGCACGAGAGCGAGTGGTGAAAAAAACAATTAACAAAAGTCTAGACAGGAAGACACGGTTAACAAAATTTTTAATTTCAACTTCCAAAAATTACAATATTGAGAAAATTAACAGCATCAAAAACCACTTTAAAACTTTACCTATTCACATATTGAACATAATAAATGTTTTACCGCTTCTTTGACTTATTACAGAAAGCTCGCGGACCCCCTGGGATCCAGGGACCCCAGTTTGAGAACCACTGTTTTATAGGACATGTACTGCCTCTTTTCATTTCAGTGGGCCGGTTTTATCCATGATCAGTATAAACTTGCTTCCTGTTTAGACTTTTTTCACAATAAGAGCTGACTGATGTCAGTGCTCATTTTCTGCAGTCTTTGTCGCTTTTTGTAAGGACTGTGAATGTCGTCTGACTTCAGGGGGCGGGTCTTATTCTTTGCTGATAGAAACGAGCTTCCTGTGTAGTATTTTCAGAATAAGAGCCTCTGTTAGATCTTCATACCCTCTCATTTCCTGCAGCCTTCTTCCTCTTCGTCACTCTGGCCGTCATGTCTGTTCTGCTGCTGGCAACACTCGTCATCTTCACGCTGAGACGTCACCGCCTGTCCCGCCGCTCTTCTGCCAGGTAATGATGTGATGTCAGCGGCGCCCCCTTTAGGTTGAGCGCGTCACATGACCACCTGCTGACGAGCACACCTGTCCAGGTGAACACCTGTCACTGAAACCTCTCTTCCTGTCTCACAGCGATAAGCAGGAGCTGCTTCCAGAATCAGATGACCTGTCCTCTCTGGACTCCATGACCATCCATGAGCCCCCCAAACCAGAACCAACGGCCTGATGGTGGGGGGGTCACAGACCCAAGCAGGGTCCAGCTCAGAACTGATCCTTTTCAAAGGTTCTTCCTGAAATTAAATGATTGTATTTAATGCAGCATCTGAACGCTCCAGGATCTGTCTCTGATCACTTTTATTGATCACTTATTGATCAGTTGAACTTCAAGTTAAAGGTTAACCTGAACCTGGATCTACTCTGTCCAAATCAATAAATGGTAAAAGCCAGAACTTGACATTATTATTATTATTATTAACAATAATAATAATAATAATAATAATTTAAAAATGTTTGTTGTTTGTTTGTTTCCTGAATTGATCAGGTTCTGGTTTCCTGTCTGAAAGTCACTGATTTACTCCAAGTAGAGTATCTGACTGGCTGAAGCCCATTATTGATTGGTGATTAGTGAGCTGATCAGCTGACAGATCTAAGAGTTTGATAAACTACACATTTGTTTTTGTTCTTTAAATGATATAAATGAAGTTGCTTTGATAATTCATCAGTCAGATTTTATATTGATTACCTGTTGATGGAAGTGTAGGGGATGAGTTAAAGCTGTAATCTTTGTATTGATCAACCAAAAGCTTTCAGACTGCAGGTGAAACAGATCAAATCATTTTTCAAATCACAATTTTCCCATGATGCACCTGTCTGACTCCCTCTGCAGGCTGAAGCCTGAGTGGTACTGATCACTTTTATTGATTATTGACCCTCCTGCTGCCCTTGGGTCAAAGCGACCCACAAGGCCTCAGTCAGTTCTGAGGTTTTGTGGGTCTCACACTCAGACAGCAGGAGGGTCAAAGGGGATTTTTTTAAACTGTTTTTATTTGTTGTCTAAATAAACTTATTTCCTCTAAAAAGATGTTTTACTGTGATCAATAACTTAAGCAGATGGTTAATCAATACTAGTGAATAGGTACAAATCAGGGGAACAAACTAAAGCGCTTTATTTTGTTTACTTTAAATTTTAATATTTAGATCTTCAGTTTATTGATCACTTTTATCTCTTCATACTAAATATTCATTGTGATCGGTTGAATTTTAATGATGATTATTTTTCTCTGAACCAATAAATCAATAAATGATTGTTTTCAACCAGACTCCTCATTTACATCCTGTAAATACTTTTAGAAAAATTCCTAAATTTTCTCGATGCTGAGGTTAAGACGTTTTTGTTTAACGGGAATTGGAAAATATTTTGAGTGATGTTTATTTTTTTATTTTTTTTTTAAGAAAACCTTTTTTGCTCCTAAATAATAAAATAAAAATAAAAAGTTTTTGATCTGGCATTCTTCAAAAAATTACTGTGAAGTTCAACTTTGTGAATATACTGTTTAAACTCCTTTAGCCCCTGAAGCTACACATGTACATTTTAAATAAAGATTACGTGTTTAAACCTGAACTACATGATCAATAATCACTGATGATTCTGGACATTTTGTTAAAATCAAAACTACAAAATTAATGAAAGCAGGATACAAAAAGGAAACCGGTTTGGAAAATAAACGTATCTGAGGAAGAACTTTAAACCCGTTTGTGTTTTTAGAGCAACAGTTTCATCTGAACTGAAGAACTGAACCGGTTTAAATTCGTTCTCAGGTTGAACGCCTCCT